TATGTGAAATTTTTAATGATAAAATGTTGGGAAAAATACTAAATAGTTACATTGTGGAAATCACACGTGGATAAGCTCTCATAGGATGAATGAACAGAAACAAAATAACTGCACTTGAATGGTGACTTGCAGCAAAGAGTCACATTTCCAGTGGTGCATTAAACAACTTCTGTCACTCAAACAACTTAGACGGAAATTAATATGATGCACACTGGAGGACTGTGTTAAATTTCAGAAAAATTGTCCCAGTAGTGACACAGATTTTGATATCGAAGACTTGTGTGAAAAGTCTGATGTTTCACTTGAGTGGAGAAAAAAAAACACACACACATAAATAGCAAAAAGGTAGAAACAACCTAAGTGACCATCAACTGACGAATGGATAAACAAAATGTGCTATATCCATACAAAGCAATATTATTCAGCTGTGAAGAAAAATGAAGTTCTGATACATGCTACGACATGGATGAACTTTGAAAACATTATGTTGAACAAAGTAATTCAGACACAGAGATCGAGGCTTAGAGCATCTAAGACTTGTGTTCTAAAACTAACCATGCCACCCAAGACAAGTCAGCCACCCTCCCAAGCTTAAACATCCTCACCTGAGAATGGGAGGAGACTGCATGGCCAGGCAGGAGAGGAAATTGTTTTAATCAGTAAAAGAGAAGAAGGAGGAGGTGTGAGGCGGGTTGTTGTTAACTTTGCTGTTGTTTTGTTTTATAAAACAGATAAATGACGTTTATTGTTTTCTGTAATATCATTTGCCATTTTGTAAACAATAGAACAACAATTTTTTCCCTTATATTATTAGATTATAAAAGGTTAATTTAGGAATGTTATTTCTGGAATAGTGATATATGAGGTTATTCATAAATCAGTGATCTTATTTTTCCTTTAAAAAATAGCAAATTCAGTACTTTGAGGAAAGTCCTTGCAGATTGAAGAGTTACATGATAGATCTGAAGTTTGTTTCATTAGAGAAGTTGGAGCAGTAAGGAGATCACATATAGTTTAAGTGTATTTTTTGTGGATAGCACATTCTCTAGGCCTACCTGAGGTGCCTTGAGGTCTAAGTTCAAGACTAAAGTCTTTTTTTTTCTTCTTTTTTTCTTTTTTCTTTTATTGTGCTTTAGGTGAAAGTTTACAGCTCAAGTTCAAAAGTTTATACACACATTGTTTTATGACATTGGTTGTAATCCCCACAGTGTGAGAGCTTGCTCCCCCTTTCCACCCTGGGTTCCCTGTGTCCATTTATCCAGTTTAGTAATTTCTTGCTAGAAACAAATTACTCATAACACACCTCATGCCAAAGGAGACCTAGCAGTATGTGGCAACACTGCAAGTAAGAACTATTGATCTCGAACTGCACTGTCCAATATGGTAGCCACTGGGCACATGTGGCTATTTAAATTTAAATTTTTTTCTCTTTTTTCCCATACAAAAATTTATACATACATTGTTATGTGACTCTAATTGCTCTCCCCATACTGTGACACCACACTCCTCCTTTCCACCCCTGATTCCCCATGTCCATTCAACCAGCTCCTAACCCTCTCTGCCTTCCCATCTCACCTCTGGACAGATGCTGCTCGT